TTCATCGAGGGACTCTCACGAGAAACCTCAATGAACACCTTGTGGAGGGTGGCTCGGAACATGCGAAACCGCTCATCTTCTAATGAGAGTGAAGAATACTCCAACCGATGGATATTCGATTTCGCTAAAAAGGTCTGTCCGGACTCAGTTCCAGCACAACACATTCTTCGAGAAGCGTCTCCGAGCGGCAGCTCTCTGGATAGACCATTCACAATGCTGGAATTCTCTATGGCTCTTCTTTCATCGAACAACTCCTCACCGGGAAGCGATATGATTAAATTCAATCTTCTGATAAATCTCCCAGACATCGCTAAAAGACGCTTGCTAGACTTATTCAATTCCTTACTAGAAAATAACATTATACCGCCTGAATGGAGACAGGTCAAAGTAATAGCCATTCGAAAACCTGGCAAACCAGCGTCTGACCATAACTCATACCGTCCGATTGTGATGCTTTCGTGCATTAGGAAATTGTTGGAGAAAATGATCCTTCGGAGACTCGATCACTGGGTCGAATCGAATAACTTGCTATCAAATACACAGTTTGGGTTCCGCAAGAGCAAAGGAACAAACGATTGTTTAGCGCTGCTTTCCACAGATATTCAACTGGCCTTTGCGCACAAGGAGTAATTGGCTTCAGTATTCTTGGACATTAAGAGGGCTTTTGATTCAGTTTCCATTGAAATTCTGTCAGACAATCTGCACAGATGTGGACTTTCCGGAACTTTAAATAATTTCTTGTACAATTTGTTGTTAGAAAAGCAAATGAACTTTTCCCTTGGACAACTGACAACTTCCAGAATTAGCTACATGGGCCTGCCCCAAGGCTTTATAACTTTTATGTCAAAGATATCGACAACTGTTTGGCAGAAAAATGCACGCTAAGACAACTTGCAGATGACGGTGTGGTTTCCGTAAGAGGTCCACATCCCGTGGACTTGCAAGGACCATTGCAAAGTTCCTTAGATAACTTGTCTTCTTGGGCTAGGAATCTAGGGATCGAATTCTCGCCGCAGAAAACTGAACTGGTAGTGTTTACTCGAAAGCGGTACCCAGCCCAAATGCATCTTAATCTTTTGGGCAGAAACATTACTCAATCATTGTCTTTCAAGTACATTGGGGTCTGGTTTGATTCAAAGTGCACTTGGAATACCCATATTACGTATTTGAAGCAAAAATGTCAACAGAGGATCAACTTTCTCCGTTCAATTTGCGGCACATAGCGGGGTGCTCATCCGGGAGACCTCATAACGCTTTATAAAACAACTATTCTCTCTGTTCTAGAGTACGGCTCTTTCTGCTTTCTCTCGGCAAGAAAATGTCACCTAATAAAATTGGAACGAATTCAATATCGTTGTAAGCGTATTGCTCTTGGCTGTATGCACTCAACGCATAATATGAGTCTCGAGGTTCTGGCAGGAGTAACACCCCTCCAGAACCGTTTCTGGGAGCTCTCTTTCTCTCAGAATACTAATCAAATGCGGAGTGACGAACACACTTATAATTGCAAATTTTGAAAAAATTCTTGTGCTGAACACACAATCTCGATTTATGAGAATCTACCACCACTACATATCGTCGGATATGTGTCTTCCTTGTTATACTCCAGACCGTGCTCACTTCACCAATCGCAGTTCCTCAATTGAATATGATCTTACCATGAAACAAGCAATTCATGGGATTCCCGATCAACGTCGACCTATTATTATCCCGCGTATTTTTACTGAAAAGTACCAACACGTCAATTGCGTGAACAGATATTTTACAGACGGGTCTCGTCTCAGTGGATCCACTGGCTTCGGTGTCTTCAATGAAAACTCTAGCACCTTCCGCAAACTCCAGGAACCTTGTTCCGTTTTTGTTGCTGAGCTGGCAGCAATCAACTTCGCATTGGGGATGATTTCCAACATGCCCGCAGGTCAGGACTTTATCTTCTCGGATAGTCTCAGTTCGATCGATGCTATTCGGTCGATGAAACAAGGTAGGCACTCATTTTATTTCCTTTCAAAGGTAAGGGAGCAGATGAGTGTGCTGGTCGAAGGTTCATATATGATTACCTTTGTATGGGTCCCCTCACATTGCTCAATCCCAGGCAATGAGAAGGCGGACTCTCTCGCAAAGGTGGGCGCGCAGGAAGGCGAATTGTATGACAGGCAAATTTCACACGATGAATTTTACCATTTAGTGTGTCAGAGTACCCTTTCGAGTTGGCAAACCGATTGGGACAATGGAAATCTTGGAAATCTTGGACGGTGGTTACATTCGATTATTCCTAATGTTTCTTCGAGAGCGTGGTTTAAAGGCGTGGGCTTAAGCCGTAACTTTATTCGCGTGATGAGTAGACTTATGTCCAACCACTACTCGCTAGATGCGCATCTCAATAGAATAAACCTCGTGGACAGCAACATATGTCGGTGTGGAAAAGGTTACGACGACATCGATCACGCAGTTTGGCAATGTACGGATAATGACGCCGCCAGAGAGCGACTTTTGAATACCTTCGAGGCCCAAGGAAGACAACCCTATATCCCTATCAGAGACGTGTTGGGTACCCGCGATCTCTGCTATATGCAGTCGATTTATGTGTTTCTGAAAATGTCTAGTATAAGAATTTAATTCGTTTGTCTTTTGTCTTTCTTTAATAGTTTTTGTTTGTCTTGTCCCCCCGTCTCGATGAGTCTCATCGTCGCCCACTGGTCACCCACCATAGCCGGTTGAACTCCAGACGAACCTAGAACCGAACTACCATTCATACTGGCGACATCGCTCTGATGAGACAACGAAACCCTACCCCAAGCTCCTCCCCTTTTCCTATCCTTCGACAATGTACCCCTCTAACCTCGAGTAAGCCGCGAGTATTCGGCCCAACTCCTACTAGACATAGAATTAAGTGAATTTTGTTACAAACAAAGAACAATGAATTATCGGCTCCGTAAAGCTAACGCGATTGAGCCTTACAAATAAACGAACTAGATAAAAAAAATATCGCACTCGTATACCTCCCGGTGGAAAATTTTGAAATCATAATCATTTTCATAGTTCTTCTATTATCCACGGGAGCCAACTTTGATTCGCCAATTTTTGTCGTGAGAGTCATGCGACATAGGCAGCGGAAAGCTTTTTAATTTTTCCTGATAAATAATAAATAATCTGAGATGCTCAAAAACTTGCTCTACAGTTGAAAAATTTGATTCTTTATCATTTTTGTTGAGAAAATGGAAAATTAGAATAGTGCCTTAATGGTTATGATCTGTGGAAAATCGTACAATATGACAATTACTGATGGAAATGGGCAAGATGTTCAATGAATCAAGCTTTAATTTGCGTTGTTGACTCTACATGGGTGGTGCATTAAAAAGGCCAATTGAGTTCGCCTATAGCAGTTTGCTGATCTTTCATCAAGTTTAAAAAATCAGTAAAATGTTGTTGATCTTCACCGATTCAAATTTGGTGTGTTGGTTTCACGAAGAAACAGATTTGATCAATAATCAACCCCGAACTGTACCGGGGAATTAAATAGGTTGAAGGTAGCTAACTGCAAACTCAAGAGAAGGAAAATTGTGCTGTGCCTGTAGTTGATATAGATTTTCATACACCTCCACTTGTAGCTGAACACACTTTCATCACTTCACGCCTGCGCAAACGCCCAAAGGAGTGTCTATATCGCCATCGCATGCACTCACGCTGTATTTATTCAATATTATCAAACAACGGCAAACGTTCTTTCCATGTAGAGGAGCATGCTTCATGTTTATATTATTTTATAGCCGAGTAGGTATACACGTTGGCGTAGCTAATGGGGGCAGGGGCTAGGGAGGCTGGTTCCCTCCAGAATGATCCAGGCCTCCTCCAGATATTTTTGGTGATTCTAATACCGGCAATTTAAATTATATTAAACTTCAAGAACATCTGCAGAATGCCTAGTATCAGTAACACCGGTAGATCACCGTTTCGTAGTGCGTTACTAGTAAATGATCTACTACATCGATCTCTGGCCCTAAGCTCTTCTTGTTGACGGTTATGAACCTCGGAGATTGGAAACAAGGAAAGGTTCGGACCAGCGTTCTGATGGATGGTCGAATATCAGTATCATCGCTTGTTTTTGTTACTTGGAAGATTTATTTTGATTGGAGTGTGGAGCATGGAGATTCACCAGAAAGAGTGCCTGCAGAAGCGATTGCTACCCTTCATCAAAAGCCACAAAGAAAACCCTTTCTTATGGAACGATTTGACATCATGCCATTATGGTTAACCTGTGATGGAGTGGTACGAAGCAAATCAAGTGGATATTGTTCCAAAAACCGCAAATCCACCAAATTGTCCAGAGTTACGTCCAATCGAGAGATATTGGGTTCTGATGAAGCGGAAGATTTCTGGAAAGAAACAAGGAATCAAAGATATCAAACACTTCCAATCAATTTGGACAAAGACGGTCATATCTGAGGAGTCTGTACTAATGGATGTTTTACTTAAGTTTTAATGTGTCCAGATTATTGTGGATACCTTAAATACTATTATATAATTCTAACCCTAAGGCTTCCATACTTTGGTACGCTTCTGCCTTTTCCTCGATTTCAAGTTGTGGAGTGGTCCTAGATACTTACTATTCGGATACCACTCGATTCCTTGGAATCTGCTCTGCGGCACATGCTGCTCAGTTGGGCTGGCCGTTGACAAGAGTAGTGACGCTGCGTTAGGGCCACCCACATTAGATCCGGAGCTGGCGCGTTTGCGGCAAAGTGGCAGCTAAATCTATTGTCTGACTGTCAAATTTACGTCAACGCAACGCAGATTAGATTAGATGAGATTAGAATAGGGGCGTATATGATTCTGGAGGGGGCCTGCCCCCCCTAGGCACATCCATTAGCTACGCCATGGATTGTAGCGCTCAAGCCGCCACAGCGGAATCATCACTCTTGTGGTAGTAGGCCTTGCGCGTTTGCGTACAATCAGTTTCGTTGGTTCATCATGTGCTGCTTGCAGTCGGTCAGTCAGTCACTCAGTCAAAAAGTTTAGTCGGTGGAGTTCAGTTTGATTTGCGGTATTCGCTGGAATAGAGGTTGTAATTTGTTTTCTCACGAAACGGGTAAGTAGGTATTGACAGAGTGAATGGGGTTGATAAACCGAATAATCTCCCAAATTGAATAACACTGGCGTTGAGGGAAAGTTGTGTGCACACAGATAGCACGTTATCAGAGTTAGTTAGGAAAAATCCCCCAATCGTAAATCGGGAAACATCTGTCATCGTCGGGCATCCGTCCGAAGATAACAACACATCGAGAGTCGCGAAAATGTTTCAACAGTTTACTCACCCAACACCATATAAATATCATCATAATCATCATAACCATCGTCATTACAATCACACGTAGTTCTAAAATCGTAAATCGGTGACGAACGGTGGAGTCCCGGAAAGGCTTGCGTTGATTTGCTATCATAATTCTTAGAAATTCCATTCCCATTTCCGAAGGTGGATAATATAATCAATAAAAAAAATGAGGGTCATAAATCTTGAAACGCTGTGATTGATTTCATTTCAAAAGTGACATCATGTTTGCTGAGCTGTGAATTACATTCACCGGAAATATTGCAAGAATTCATGACATCAATAGACGCGATTGAAGATAAGCGCTTTTTAAATTTCTACATTCTTTAATGCTTTAACATGTTTTGGGTAAAATAGTAAAACGGCTACCATACATTTTTGTAGATTGTGTGGCAGATTTTCAAAGTATTCAATCACACGGCTCTTTACACTGTTGTATAACCGCATGAACATATTTAATCTGCATGTAATGCAGTTAATCCACTCAAATCCGACTGTGAAGTCACATTTTTATCGCATTTGGAAATGACGGTGTCATCACGATTGAACCCAAATCAAACCATGCGAGGCCTCGCCTTCTATGATTACCGTGTGCCGAAGCGAGCGTATGTCAATAAACCTTTTTGACAGTTCGCCTTAAATTTGGCCCTCCTGACCCTTCTGGGTTGGAGACTAATTAGTCGCGTGCGCAAATATTGCACCAAAAATTGCAGTCCCCTTCGCTCATACAGGTGTTTGTTGTCCTACATCACCGCGTTATACGGACGCTTCGGAATGTGTTTCCATTCATTGACGACTTTTTACTTTGTTTATTGTGTCTGATCGTAAGAGATACCTATACCTCGTCGGACAAAGATGGGAGAGAAGCTGTTCTCGGTGAGGGGAAAAAATAAAAACAGATCCCCTCTGAACATCGTGGCGCTGTTTATTTATAGAATTTTAGTCATTCGACAAGAAACCAAATCGGAAAATGTATAGGAAAGTATATAGGCTAATGCTAAACGGGATTGTGGAACACAAACAGATGCGCGCAAGTGAGCGTGGGTTGCGATGGATATGCTTGCTACCGCTCCCCACGGCTTTCTAAGCAAGCGGCGCATCAAAACTGGTTCTCGTCCGTTGAGCCACATTACTATTTACAATCTTGGTATTGTAAACAAGTGTGTAAGATCCGCTTACATAGGTGTGAGTGTTGTTATGGATTTGGAGCTGGGTTGGGTGGTTTGTGATGACGGTGAAGACAATGCGCGGGTGCGTGCTTCTGCTGGGTTTGTAACAAATTTTCGGTTCGCGCTCGGGTGATTCTAAAATATTTTGGTAAATAATTTATGGCTTCTCGTTTTCCTCTGAAAGATTAACGATTTTTTGCGTTTGCAAGAAGTTGGAGCCAGTGGAGACGAAGCAAGAGAATATTTTGATGTGTTTTGAGTTTTATTTATAAATCTAGCAGTAGGATCATCGCTTATTGTTGTCAGTCTAGGACGCTCATGTCCGATCTAATTACAATTGAATTCTGACACGTTATATAAATAGTGTTATCAGTGGTAGTTTTTTTTTACGAAAGCTTAGTTTTTATAGAAGTTTCCTACAGAAATTAAAGACTTTTCTTAAAAAATAAGGTTAGAAGTAATATTTACCATATCACTTCAAAGGTTTCTAACTGATTGTTTTTCAGGTCGATAGATATGTTCAGAATTCACGTATACTACGTAGCACTAGTGTGCATAGGCCACAGACAAACAGACATAACACATTGAATATTTATCACTGTAAAACATTACCGCCATCTGTTGAATACACCGTGGTGGGCATAACACTGAACAGATGCCGGTAGCGTGTGAACGTCAAACGCAAGGGAATTGACTATGCACGCCACAGGTGGCGATACTACCAACTACGATACTTTTAAATTGACCGTTAAATGCTTGTTCGATGAACAACTTGCGAGAGTTATGTCTGTATGCGCATAGGCTATATTTTGAGATCCTGGCTATCTAGAAACCTGTTGTCTTCAGAAGTCTTGTCTTGTTCAGGCGACCAAGGCCATCTGAATATTCTGTATACTTCCGATTTGTGAAAAGTTTGAAATATGCAACAAGTGTAAGTGTTGCGTCTATGATTGTTGAGATTTATCGCGTGTAGTTTTCGTCTTAGTTTGCATAAGTAAAAGCAAGAAAGTATTTGCAGGTTTGTGAAAGGTAAAGCGTTTTTAAGTCTGTACGGTCGCAGCCAGTGAGATACACTATCCAATTTAGAATAGGGAAGTGCCACTAGCCACCACCAGTGGACACTGTCGCAGCGATGAATGGACGGCACAGGGGTGGTGTAATGGGGGCCATTGCGTGTACGGATAATTCGAGGCACAGTCTGGTCATCATCACTGGAACTATGGTCACACTGTAGAATAGAAATTAGAAAGTTAGTGAAGTTGAAAGTTAAACGATAAAGTTAAGTGTAGCATACTGAGAGAGAAGGAAAAGTGGAAATTACCAAAGAGTATACACATTTTTAATGGAAACTAAGCGATCGATTCAACCTCTGGGGGTGAATAGGAGAACGTCAAAAAGAGTTGCGAGCAGAAATGTTTGCCGTGAGACATAGGAAGCGGAACACATTTGTACATTTCCTGATAAATTGATTAATCTGAGATGCTCCAAAACCTGAGTTACAGTTGAAAAATTTCATTCCGTAGCATTTTTGCTTGGATCCTGTAGTGTTCAGGAATATTTTTGTGGATAAATTATAATAGTGCCTTAGTGTGGTCCGAATTTCTTGTGTGTGAATAGTTTAGGTGCAAATCAGTTCAGATTTGTTGAAAATCATAAAATAAGACAATTACCGATAGGAAATCCTTATTCTGAGGTACACACACGGTTTGGTTGACGTTTCCTCTCGAACTCCTTTCCTGGCGCCCTCTACATTGGTGGTGCATTAAAAATGTCTGTTAGGTTGTTTTTCGACAAGATTAACCATGGTATCACTATTGCAAAGCTACAGAGACTAGGAGTTAATGGCTCACTTCTGGGATGGTTCAACTCCTATCTAAACGACCGCTGGATGAATGTCACTATCGGCGACTGCCAATCGGCCGTTTTCAAGGCTACGTCAGGAATTCCACAAGGTAGTCACCTCGGCCCGCTGTTATTTTTGTTGAACTTCAACGATGTGAACCTAGTGCTGAAAGGGCCTCGCCTATCATTTGCCGATGATCTAAAGATTTTTTATATTTTATTATTGCCGATGCTCTTTTCTCTTCTGAATCGAATGGTAGTCAACCCAAGTAAATGCTCACTGATTTCATTCTCACGGAAAAAGCAACCAATTAATAACAAATAGGGGAATTTACGTATTCTCGGCAACCTAAGCAGCGACCTTCTTTCCATAGCCTTTTTCTTTAAGAAACGCACACATATGCAGTATTGGTTTGTTTATAATCTTTTGCTGCCAGCTGCTCTAACAAGTTCAGTCGAAAGAATTAATTATATGATTTGAGTAGTAGCTATACTGAAGATCCGAGAGATGTCGCCTCTTCAGTGGTAGGAAAATCATTTTTGCAGTATGGAGAATATCAGAAAATCCACGATTTGTGACTAAACATGCTTTTACAAAAGGAAACAAATAAACGAGTGTTTACCTTATCACCATAGTAATGTACTCGTGCAATTTTTGTGTATCTAAAATTGCCCATAAAGACGATAATGAATAAAAACTGAAAATTTCCTTGCATTTCCAAATGGTTTCCTACCATTCCCATACATTCGAAGTGACTGGCCCTCTGGATGTGGATGATGTCAAAACCAACAAAACATGATTAATTGTCAAAAACTGTTTTGAAACGCTTTTACAAAGCTCGAATCTTCTCTAGTGAGAGCGAGTATTGTCGGCAACCAGTTTTTCTTCGGCAACCGTTCCATTTGAACTGCATGTAAATCTGCTGTTCTATTATCGGCAACTCGAAATCAGCTACAATTTGTAGTGCGTGTGTTGCATTTCAAGAAAACCTTGCTAGATTGCTTTTTCTCAGTGGTAAAAATATAGTCAAATTGAAGCTGAAAGCATAAAGAATCGTTTGCATGCATTCAGCGAAGTGTTTTCATAAGAAAATCCAGTGAAAATAGTGTTTCAATTTGTGTTGCCGAAAATAGTCTGTCATGCCGAAGCCGTCATTTCCCCTATACCTTCTCGGAAGCGGAAATCGAACGCGTCAGTCATGTTAAAAATCTTGGAGTTATACTGGATACCCAACTTACCTTCAAGCAACACGTATCGTACATCATTGATAAAGCATCAAGAACAATGGGCTTCATCATACGCATAGCTAAGAACTTCACCGACGTCTACTGTTTAAAATCGCTGTACTGCTCTTTAGTGCGCCCAATTCTAGAGTTCAGTTCTGCAGTGTGGAATCCAGTATACCTCAATGGCTCGGAAAGGATCGAATCTGTAAAACGAAGGTTCGTAAGATTTGCCTTGCCTTAGGCTACCCTGGCGTGATCCTTATCATCTGCCCAGTTGCGAGAGCTGCTGCCAGCTTATCAATCTGGAGACCCTGCGGTCTAGACGAAACGTATCCAGAGCCTTGTTCGTAGCAGACATTCTTCAGAGCAGAATCGATTGCCCCGCCGTTCTGCAGTATATCACCCCTCACCATCCCTCCCCAAAGGGGGAGTTTGGTAAAGAGAGATGAAAAAACCGATTTGTACCTTCCTTAAAAAGTTGTCCTAACGGAACTATCAACTCTATGCTTTCATCTACTCCAT